TGTGAGTTGTAGCAGGACAAATTATGTCTGCTTCACTACGACAATGTACCTGCTCTCAATGACTTGAGCATGTGGCAGATCCTGGCTGAGAAGAACATTGCTGTACTGGAAATACCTCCCTATTCACCTGATCTTGCTTTGTGTAAATTTTTTCTTTTCTCCGACTTCAAGAAGACCCATTTTGAAGGCCATAACAACAGAGCTGAGAGGCATCCTAAAAGAAATCCTTCCAGCAGTGCAGAGAAGCGTGGGAGAGAAGGATGGAAAACTGCATTAGACTTGATGGGGCTTACTTTCAAAGAGAAACCATGTAGTTTGTTGTTTGGGACTAAAATACATTGTGACATCAGTCCCGTTACTTTTCAGATAGACCTCGTTTCTTCTTCATTTTTACAGAAACCATGGATCAATGCTCATTGAAGGGAAACTTTGTTCTTGATATAGGCACATTAAATGCAAAACAATAGATAAAATAGTTTATAGTATCGATCTTTGAAAGAGAGAAGTATTGAAAAAAAAAGGCTTTTTGTTATTGTGTGGATTTTCCATTTTTACTAAATTTGCATTTTTTTTCATCAAATGGTAAATGAAAAGAAATAATGGAAAATTATTTTTTCTATTATTTAGGCTATTTTTATTTTCAAAGAAAAAAGCCTTTCTGTTCAATTTCAAGTGGTTTTGTGTTTGACTTTTGTGTTAAGTAAGAGCTTAAAGCAATCAGGTGTACATGAATTTTTAAGACTTATGCAATTCTTTGAATGATTTGTGTACTCTGCTGTCCAATGCAAGCACTGTAAGTATGTATTTTTTTTTTATTGGCATACAGAATTTCATGGAATACATTTGTATCCTGACTTAAAGGTGATAAGCATTTACTCTTTGTTGTTTTGTAACTATGAATTTTGTTTAAAAAAATTATGCGCAAAATACATAATCCAACTAAATTTGCAGTTTCATTGAACATTTTGACACATTCCTTTACATGTGTTCTCTGCTCTATTCTTTTCTAATTGAGAAATGTATTCAGTTCTTGTTGATTTGTATTCTTTTTAAGAAATATATGCAAAATACATAATCCTTGTGAATTTCCCGTTTCATTGATAATATGAATGCATGTTCCTTTACATATGTTCTCTGCTTTTTTCTAATTTAAGTGGGGAACGTATTTAATTCTTGTGGATTTCTATTATTTTTTATGATGAATGAGTTTTTGGCAAACATGGATAAACATAGATATGTTCACCTATTATCTGATTCACACTCCTCCCTGGTCTTTTAAACAGGAGTAGATATTTATCCCTTGTTTCCTGTTTAGCATTGGGTTTCTGGTTCCTTCTAAAGTCTACTTCAGCTCTATACACCTAATGCTTGTCCTTCCCTATGCTAATATAACTCCACAGAGTAACCCTCTGCCTTGAGCCTTGTATTGGGTGAATATTAGTATATAAAAAAACATGCCTACAATAAGACAGAGTATCAAAAGCATGGTTTTTCCCATGACACTTCTTTTTTTAACCCTTTCACTGCTACTCATTTGCCCAGTGCTGCCCCCATCCGGCCAGCCATTTTTAAAGAAAATGCCAAATTTCAACCTACATATTTTATTACACAGAAAACTGGCACCAGTGTGTTTTACAGCATTCCATTTTCATGGATATACCTGGGAATGACTTACCAGATCAGTAATGGGTACACACATGATATCTTTTGAAGCATTCTCCTTTGTGATTTTACGATAGATGGCGCAATGGGACACTCATAACAGCGGTATGCAAAACAAAACATAGGTTTCTGTACTTAGCCAGCTGGAGCAAGATAAGAAAAACGAAGATCTCCGTAGTTAACAGTGGTTAACTACCTTCACTCTTTGGTAGTGGTTTTTGATTTAAAAAGATAATTAGAATTGTAATAAAACCTAAACATATGAAAGTGAATATATACATTTTCTTTGTTCTTGAGAATTGGCAACAAAACTAATAAACACTATTTATTTATTAGATTGTTTATTTACACTGTTAAAATAAAAGCAGCATTATGAGAAAAACTGTCCTTTTCACACAATCTCTTATTGTGGGCATATTTATCTGTGTTTGTCAAAACATTGTTTGAAACTTCATTACTGGCATTTTTTTTAAAAAAATTAAAAAACGGATAGCCAGTAGAATTCATGATATGAAATGACTCTGGTACTGCCAATTTCTCAATCAATTATGGTTTCAGAAAGCTTTTAAGGAACTGATGTTTGAAGGCAGGAAACCAAGGAGGTCAAATCTGAAGGTATCTTTAATGCTGTATGTCACAAAATTAGGATAAGTGGGATGATAATAATCTCAGTATAAGTGAAAGGGGATAAAACTACTCAATGTATATAATGTTTGTATCCAAACTTTAATAAGAAATAATGCCAGAGTAAAAAAAATCCATTCATTTTATGATGGCTATGATTTGATTTTGAGCAATATCATTGCTTGAGTCATCCTCAGATATGAGCAGCACAGATATGGCTTTTTAGTCCTGCTTGGGTCTTACATTGCAGTAATTATATAAATACCACATAACATGTATGGCAGTGGCCCTGACTGAGTTACATTAGTTCATGAAATGTTGTTTAGTGATTTGAGCTACTGAGTGAAGGAGGAGAGATATTAAATGGAGAAAAATACGAGTGTTTTTAATCAGGTTGGAACCCAATTTATTTGAAACTATAAAATACTTATGAGGAAGATTTGAACTAAAAATAAACCAAGTAAAATCCAGTATAACTGAAATTTGTTGCCTAACCCCACAGCCCCAAGGACTTTGTGATGCTATGATTAATGTGTTTGCCAAAATTCTTCAAACTTTTTGCAAGTCTGTGAATTGTTTGTTTGGTAACCTGCTCTGCAGGAATCCTGTTGATTCTTACAAAAAGACTTGAAACTACATTCTTGGTAATAAAGAACTATTGGAAGGGTCACATGAAATTTACCAGTCCATCTGGTATATATATTTAACAAGGAGGGTCATTGTGTAAATACCTAATTAATGAAAATAGCCTTCCAGACAGTTATATTTATAAGCACACACACCATTTTAGCCAGTTCCAGAGATCTGTTTTCATTGAAATTCTTGCAGCTCAATTGGTAACATACTCACATTTTAATTATTAGATATTTAACTATTAGAAAGAGAAGGATTTACTGAAGTCATGCCATGTAATTGTGATTGTTACAACTTTTATATTCTCTCATTAATAACTTGTTGATAGCTTTATCAGCAGTCTTTTCTTTCTGTTAGAAATTTTCCACTTTTAAGGAAGCTTGCCTAGATTAAGAAAGTCACGAGGATCATGAAACCACTTGGATCCAGAAAACCATGACCTACTGGAGTGAATAAAAGAACATGCTGAATAATTCATCCCATTGAGTATACAATGTAAAAGATTCCGCTAGACAACACAAGACTGTTGACGAAGACAAACAATGAAAAATAGCCATCCCCAATTTACATATTCTTCACCAAACTGATACCTATTATCGTGATTACCGACTAAAGTTTACATTTGGCATACAATGGCTGGGATAGCAGGTTATATTTTGTGCCATATTAATCAAGAAGGGAATCATATATGTGTAATGAATGAATCTCTGTGTGTCAAATTTTTGATGATTATTACGCCTACCATACTCAGATGTGACCATATTCATTACATATTAGATCAAATTTTGTATCAACATTTTCGGGGTAACTAACATCAAGATCCTTACAGATATATCTCTCAAGTTTTTCATGTGCAACAAGATTCTTCTAAAAGCCTCTCTCTTACCATTGTGCATGTTAAAAATTGTATTAGAATCAAATATTTCTTCTTCTGTAGATGAATCTTTTCTTGCAGCATAATGGAGTATCACTGCCATATCTGAGCTGGAGCTGCCCAGTCTTTACCTGTCTGTCTTGAAATTATTTTCCAATTGTTTTTAATCACAGATAAAATGTTGCAAGCTTCTCACTCCTCTATCGTTATTTCCATGTCATGTTTTCTGATGAGTTACATTCCTTCATTTCACCAGCCCTCAACTTTTACAACTGGGACCTGCCAGGCCATATACACAAGAGTGAATCCTTCCCATATGCTTCATATTCCAATAGTAAGTTCCATTCGTACAGCTTCTTCCCAAGAACTGCTGCTTTGTGGAACTGACTACCAGCAGGATATTTCCCCAATCACTACAATTCTAACCTTGTCAAGTCTTCATTATCTTTGCTGTATAGCCCCCAAAACTTCACTTATAACACCACACAGTAAATCTATACCTTGTGGAACTTATGGTCACATCATGTTCAAACAACAGTTCCCATATAATCACCAAAGTTAAACATCATCAAGCCTGTTCAGTATCTAGATGGGTGACTGCTTAGGAATACTTGGATGTATGGGTGATATAATGAAAAATGGCTTGGAATTGTTAATCAGAGAGCCAAATTCCAATTCACTTTGGGTTTGTTAGATTCACTTACATGTAAATACCCTTGGGAAAGGCATGAATCCACTTCTCCCCTAGTTATGGTTTATTTAGTAAGAGTTGTATCTGATTATTATCTCAAAAAAAAAATTACATACAAAATATTTAGATTTTGGTATTAAATAACCTATAGAGGTTAATGTGCAGCTAAACAAAAACAACCAACCATCTCGTCCTTGAGTGGTTCTTGGGCCTTATATTTGGTGAACTTTAGTATATTAAAAAAATAGCCTGCTCTATACAAAAGTGACATCTCAGTATCTTCAAAGGTCCTAGTTTCAAATAAGTTATCAAATGTTTGGCATGCCATTTCATTCAGAAAATACCCACCTTTTGAACAAATATGACCAGGATCAAAGTTTTATTCTTTAACATCAACATTCAGTTGAAGAAATAATTTATTTTTTTCAGTATTAAATTTTTTGATCAAATTTTGCACTACCATAAAATATGCACTACCAGAAACTTCTCTAGATTTTCCAAATTCATTTTCCAGTTTATGGCCACATCATGCTGAAACACCGGTTCCTGTATGATCACCAAAGTTAAGCAATGTTGAGCCTGGTCAGTACCTAGATGGGTGACTGCTTGGAAATACCTGTGGCTGTAAGCTTGGACATGTGGATGGTGTAATGGATAATATCTCAGAATTGTTAATCAGAGAGCTGGATGAATGCTGTTGTTTCTTTCTCTAGGTCCTTGTTCTGTTTGGTCAGGCCATTTCTGAGTACTGTCCTTGACAAAGCATCGGCTGTGTATAGTTCCTTCCCAGGAACATAGCAGATGGTTTATCAATATCGTATTAGGTGTATACAAAATCTTTGTATTATGGCTGGTAGCTTGCTAAGGTCTTTGCTGCTTAGCAGTGGCACTAGTGGCTTGTGGTTGGTTTCTATTGTGAAGTCTAGCCCAATGAGATAGTCAAAGAAACACTCACATGCTCATGTTGTCACCAGGGCCTCCTTTTATATTTGGGCATAGCGGGTTTCAGTCTCTGACATGACACGTGAAGCATAGGCAATAGGATGCATTTTCATGTTGTCCTGTCTATGTAGTAACACTGGTCATAGTCCACAGGATGATGCGCCTGCAGAAACTATGGTATCATTTGAGGAATTATACACGAATAACACTGGGTCTGAACACAGAGTTCTCTTGATGGAGCTAAATGCTTTCTGTTATGCACTGTCTCAAACGAATGCATATTTCTGGCTTAACAAGTCCCTCAGTGGCTTAGTCATGTCCAACAAGTTTGGAATGAATTTTCCCATTTGATTTACCATCCCTAGGAATTAGCAGATTTCCATTATGTCTGTTGGTGTTGGGAAGTTGAAGACACCAACGACTCTTTGTGAATCTGACTGTAGACTGTCAGCACTGAGTATGTGCCAGAGAAATTTCAGGGACAGTTTGGAGATTTCGCATTTTTCTGAGTTGAGAGTAATGCCAGCTGCCTGGATTGTAGGACATCATGTTCTTGTTGATCTTTGCCATAGATCAGTACATCGTCTTGCATACATATCACTCCGACCTCATCCTCTAATAACTGTGACATGCGTCTCTCGTAAATCTCGCTAGCTGATGAAATCTCAAAGAGGAGGTGGTTGAATTGCTACCTTCCAAAATGGCTGATGATGGTCATCAGTGCATGGGATTTTGATGAAAGTGGAATTTTCCAATATCCACTGTTGGTTCTCTCTCGACCTTTGCCTCCCCTAACTGGACCAGCAGGTGGTCAACTGTGTGTAATATGTGGAGTTCATGTTTCATAGACTTGTTAAGTTTTGTGAGGTGATTCTGACCTTCCCATTCGCTTTCAGTACTACAACCATGGGGGAACACCATTCAGTGGGTTCATCAATTTTGCTTATGACCCAACCCCCCCACCACCACCACCACCACCGCCTTTTCATTCTCTGGAATTCTGTCTGCTTTTTTCTCATCAGGGGTAATGGTACACGTTGTGGTGTGGATACAGAATATAGCCGAACATCTGCACACAGTGGTATGCTGTACTCTTTTCCAAATATGCCTAAACCTGTAAAACGGTCTGGCATTTCTTTCTTTGAGTCATATGGTTGTGATAGTGTGTAGGCTTGGGTGGATGGTCACAGGCTTCATTAGTGTTGTGGATTCCGAGATGAATTCGGTCTCCAATGAAGAACAAATGCAATAATTAAATATAAGAAATAAAATGTATTTACACAATCATACAAAGGGTAATACTGTTAGTAAATCCAGGAACACGGTTAGTAGCACATACAGATAGATATATACAGTCCCTTAGAGTCTACGTGCTTGTATCTGACTTCTACAAGAGGCTACCTCACACTATCTCCGTTCGTATATTCTCACTCTATCCGACTACCCTCTCACTATCCGATTACTCTGGGTATTTAACGGCAGCCGTCCAAGTAACACTGGTAGAGTCCACATATGAAAAAGGGATGGACCCCATAACAATTAGCTGGTCTATCTAATAAGGGCTCTGCAAGATTGGGGATGATGAATATCTGCTGCTTTATTGTCAACTCTTTACATGAGATGGTTGCAGTTATCATTCCATTCACTTTGAGCAAATGCACTGTGGATGATGTAGGGGTTTATGATTATTTGAGATGGCTGGTAGGTCTTTCTTTCATCTGTAGACATGCTCAGGGATTGCAGTCACATCTGTACCAGAGTTCAATTTAAACTGCAGGGGTATTTCATTGACAGTGATGTCAGTTTACCAAGGCTTGTTCAAGTTGATTTCCAAGATTGTCAGGACACCAAGGTATGCACTCTGGTCACTCTCACTGGAGTCATACTGAACTTCCTGTAGTCTTGTGTGGCAGCATTGGGTGTAGTGGCCAATCACCCTGCAATTGTTGCAGGTGGCTGAAATGGTGAGGCATGCATGTCTCTGATGATGGGTCTTGACACAGCAGTGGCAATTGACTTCCAGTTTGTTCTGCTGTTTATGCTTGCTCTTTTGCTGATTCTCATAGTGGGATTC